CTTGTAAATAGACACTAAAGGTGCCCACACACTGCTCGATTCTCGTACGAGAATGGCGGGAAATCCGGCGATCGTACGAGAATCGAGCAGTGTGAACGGAGACGTGCGACCGTCTCTACTGTACGGTCGCACGTCTTCCGTCGCACCAGCATGTTCGAAAACCAGCCGGGAGTCGTACGATTCTCGGCTGGTTAGAACGGCGCTCGGGAAGACAAATGCCGAACGGGCCGGTGTGCGCACGCTGCCCGTTCAGCATTGCGGTCATCGGAATCCCGCCACTCAGGGGGGCGTGGCTTGCGATGATCGAGAGTGCGATCTGCCTGTCCAAGATAGACAGATCGTACGTTTTTTTTTAATCCCCGTACAACCATCGCAAGACTAAGGTCTTGCGATGGTTGTAGAGTGTTGAGGCGGCAACTTTCACTTCTCACTCTGATCACATGATGAGAATTTACATCCGGCGCTCCGAAATCTTTCCTGAGATCTGCAAGAGGGGCCCGCCCATGTGCTATACTGGGGGCCCACCCATGTGCTATACTGGGGGCCCACCCATGTGCTATAGTGGGGGCCCACCCATGTGCTATAGTGGGGGGGCACCCATGTGCTATAGTGGGGGGGCACCCATGTACTATAGTGGGGGGGGGGCACCCATGTGCTATAGTGGGGCGGGCACCCATGTGCTATAGTGGGGGGGGCACCCATGTACTATAGTGGGGGGGGCACCCATGTACTATAGTGGGGCGGGCACCTATGTACTATAGTGGGGCGGGCACCCATGTGCTATAGTGGGGGGGCACCTATGTACTATAGTGGGGCGGGCACCTATGTACTATAGTGGGGCGGGCACCCATGTGCTATAGTGGGGCGGGCACCCATGTGCTATAGTGGGGGGGCACCTATGTACTATAGTGGGGGGGGCACCTATGTATTATCGTGAGTTTTCGGTGCAATTCCTGGTGTATGGCCGGCTCTGCTCTGGACCAGTATTAGAGGGACCAAGGTACAGGGTGGGGGGAGCGATGCAGGTGACCCCAAAACCCGCATCATCAGACCATATTTTTTTACATTTTGCTTTTGTCCTCAAATATGGTAAAATTCATCATATAATATTCACCCGTAATCAGAAATATCATCCTCAGCCGCTGATCACTCAGCTCTCTCCTCCTATCAGCATCCTTCGTGTCAGCACATGATTGGCTCCTTGTGCTACTTCTGTCTCTAGCACTGCACAGGGACTGCATGAGGCCGATACCGGGTCACATCCAGATACTGGCGCTGCACACAGATCCGCCCAGAGTTCCTCAGTGTCCTGAGCTCGGCACTTTCTGCTAAAAATAACATTTCACAGAAATTTGCTGGAACTCATTTCCCCTTTTATAATCCTCCTCAGCCGAGGACATGTTCTGGGATTTATCTATGCGGGCCCCGCCTCAGCCGAGGACATGTTCTGCTACTCAGGAAAGACCCCGAGCGCCCTTATGGGGTCATAGATCGGTACGGCTGCTCTTAAAGGGCCCGCTACGAATAGCGGAAGGCCCGCCCTCTTGTTCTGCTCTTTTTAGGTATTCTGAACCCCTAAATCCCTCTCTCCTAAAAACTGAGCTCAGCGGTAAAAGATAAAAAGAATAAAGTGACCGGAATCCAACTTATTTCTCACCCGCCGTTCACCAAGAGCCGGACCCCGAGGGGGGAGCGTCAGCCAGCTACGCCGATTATCGGGTCATTCCGCATCACCCCAGGAGGGGGGAGTGCTGCCTCAATATTCTCTGATCACCGCTAGCAGCCGTCACGGTAACAAGAGAAACAATAAAAAGTAACAAAATAACATTAAACGCCATTTTAAACTTCTTCATACAGAATAACATTGTATATTATCGTTCCGCTTCATTCATCATATTTGCCGATGAGATCGCACCGTCTGTAGAGGACAATAAAGTTTATCTAAATTCAAAACTTTTTTTTTTTTTTGGCTACCTCCAGGGCTTTAACGGTGGTCACCGCTTCGGTCCGGCGCCGGTTGCGCCCGCTGTGTGCCGGGGACGCTTTGTCTCTGACGTGTTTTCTTCTCCCTGCAGATAAGAAGCCGCGACGAAGGTGCAAAGAGCGTTTCCTGCACATTTTTGTGTCCGCGTATCTCACCTGGTCTCAGCGGGGGGATATAAACTGATCCCATGCACCGGCCTCATGCACAGAGGAAGAACCGGTTTTGTTTCCCGCGACAACCAATCGCGTTCTCAGCCGAAATGTTTCCAATGCGGAAAAGCTTTTTATTAAACACAAAACATTTGTTTTTTACCTTTGGATGCGCGAGACCCAATGAGAGTGTAATGCGATATCCTGCCAGATCAATACAAGGGTTGGCTTTGGCCTTCACAGTATATCCTCTCTCCATACATGTGCACTGCAGCTGAGCCTGATTGGCTCCCAGTCATGCCCCTCCCACTGCCAGTGCTGCCATGCCGCAGGTAACAGGAGGATGACGGAGGTATCCACAGGAGCTGCATCTCAAAAAATAAAATGTATTTTGGTGAATAAATAATCCATAACACTAGTCCTGACCCTTACCTAGTCCTTAAACCTAAACCCCTAACCTCAACCTAAACCCCTAACCTCAACCTAAACCCCTAAACACTAACTCTCACTCCAACCTCCAAACCTAACCCTAGTTGTAGTTCTCAACCCGTCCCCAACACATTCACACCAAACCCTAAACTAACCCTAGTATTCGTAATCATCATAACGCCCTAATATCAACCTAAACCCCTAAACTAACCCTCACCTCCAAAACCTATCCCTAGTCTTCGTCATCCTCCTAACCCCTAATATGCACCCGTATACCTAACCCCGAATCTCAACATAAACCCCTAAACTAACCCTCACCCTAACATCTAAGCACCATCCTAGTCCTAGTCATCAACCTAATCCCTAGGCATTATCCTTTAAACTTAACCCTTAATCTCAACCCAAACTCCTAACTCTCACTCTAACCCCTTAACTCAACCCTAGTCTTAGTCATCAACCTAATCCCTACACATCAACCCTTAATCTCGACCTAAACCCCTAAACTAACCCTCACCCTAACATCTAAACACAACACCAGTCTAAGTATTTAACCTAACCCCTAGGCATTGACCCTTAAACCTAACCCTTAACCTCAACCTAAACCCCCAAACACTAACGCTCACTCTAACCTGCTAACTTTACCCTAGTCATAGGGTATACCTAACCTTATACCTAACCCCTAATCTCAACCTAAACCATTAAACTAACCCTCACCCTAACCTCTAAACCTAACCCTAGTATTCGTAATCATCCTAACCCCCTAATATCAACCTAAACCCCTAAACTAACCCTCACCTCCAAACCTAACCCTAGTCTTAGTATTCAACCTAACCTCTACACATCAACCCTTATACCTAACCCTTAACCTTAACCTAAACCCCTAAACACTAACTCTCACTCTAACCTCTTAACTCAACCCTAGTCTTAGTCATCAACCTAATCCCTACACATCCACCCTTACACCTAACCCTGGAACTGAACCTAAACCCCTAAATATTAACCCTCACCCTAACCTCCAAACCTAACCCTAGTCATCAACCTAGCCCCTACACATCAACCCTAATACCTAACCTTTAATCTCAACCTAAACCCCTAAACTAACCCTCACCCTAACATCTAAACAGAACCCTAGTCTAAGTATTTAACCTAACCCCTAGGCATTGACCCGTAAACCTAACCCTTAACCTCAACCTAAACCCCAAAACACTAACGCTCACTCTAACCTGCTAACTTTACCCTAGTCATAGTTCTCAACCCGTCCCCAACACATTCACACCAAACCCTAAACTAACCCTCACCTCTAAACCTAACCCTAGTATTCATAATCATCCTAACCCCTAATATCAACCTAAACCCCTAAACTAACCCTCACCTCCAAACCTAACCCTAGTCTTAGTATTCAACCTAACCCCTACACACCAAGCCTTATACCTAACCCCTAATCTCAACCTAAACCATTAAACTAACCCTCACCCTAACCTCTAAACACAACCGTAGTCTTGGTAATCAACCTAACCTCTAGGCATTGACCCTTAACCTCAACCTAAACCCCTAAAAACTAACTCTCACTCTAACCTCCAAACATAACCCTAGTCCTAGTCATCAACCTAACCCCTACACACCAACCCTTATACCTAACCTTTGAACTCAACCTAAAGTCCTAAACACTAACCCTAACCTCCAAAGCTAACCCTGGTCTTAGTATTCAACCTACACCCCAAGATATGAACCCTAACCCCTCACCTCTAGACATTAACCCCTTCAGACACTGACATATATTTTCGGTCTCCGCCCCCCCCCCGTATCAGCGCTCAGAGACGAGATCTGCACCATGAAATGTCCGAACAAGGCGTTCAGCAGCGATACGATAACCGGAGAGAAATCGGAGATCCCCCCGGATTACGGGCTGGAGGGAGATGTAACCATGACGAATGATACATCGCTGTCATCAGGGCCCCCAGGGGCCACACGGAGCCTGAGGGTCCTGGAGGAGGAAATCCGAATCATCAAAGTCCAGAACATCCACCTCAGCATGAGAATCCACAACATCACCCAGATACCAGGTACCGATCCGATCAATCAGGACACACACCCCCAGGTACAGATCTGATCAATCAGGACACACCCCCCCAGATACAGATCCGATCAGTCAGGACACACCCCTAGGTACCGATCCGATCAATCAGGACACACACCCCCAGGTACAGATCTGATCAATCAGGACACCCCCCCAGATACAGATCTGATCAATCAGGACACACCCCCAGATACAGATCTGATCAATCAGGACACACCCCCAGATACAGATCTGATTATCTCTCATTTTGTTCTCAGGGGAGCCGGGAATGAACGGGGAGAGGGGATCGCCGGGGCCCCCCGGAGTGAAAGGGGAGAAGGGGGACGCAGGTGAGTCCACAGGAAGGTGTACATTGTAGCGGATGATCGGTGATGAGGATCTTATTGATCCGAAGGTATTGATTGGCTCGCTGGTGATGTCATCTGTCAATCTGGTTCCAGGAAGTTCTGCAGCTGGCAATGGATCTTCAGCGGGACCTCCGGGGCCCCCAGGACCGGCTGGACTCAACGGGAGAGATGGTGAGGAATTGTCCTTTCATGATGCGGACAGGAAGTCATAATCATCCCCGGTGTCTGTAATGTCATCTCCGTCCTCTGCAGGGGTGAGAGGAGAGCCGGGAGCTCCGGGACCCGCCGGACAGAAAGGTAAACCAATCATATCACACGCATTCTTCTTCCTCACATACGTGTAATCCTTAACAGACACGAAGGATAGAAATCCCCTTTATGTGCCCCAAATGTCCTCACAGACCCAGATATTACCTTGTAAAAGTAGCAGAGAAATCATCACTGTGCTGCGCATGTGCAGAGAGAAGGGCTGTGGGAGGGACCCAACAGGCTCCACCCACTTCAGAAAACTAGAGGAGGGGGCAGAGACCAGACCAGTCACCCTGCACAAGGACAGAGAGCAGCAGTGACCGGTCTTTATTACAGGAGGGGGCGGAGACAAGACCAGTCACCCTGCACAAGGAGAGAGAGCAGCAGTGACAAGCAATATCTCCCCTCCCCCTACAATTCATTCATCTGCTGTTATATCCGACATGAGATTATCTGTTTATATAAATCTCCGGATATAGGAAAAGATTCACCGAGGTAAGGATTCACCGAGGTAAGGATTCACCGAGGTAAGGATTCACCGAGGTAAGGATTCACCTTCACAATGTTCGGCCTCGGTTGGGATCACAAATCACCGTTCTGATGAAGATTGATATGGATATGCTGTCCGTAGACGATGATCGGATGTGTATACGGAGAGCGATGATGTCATCATCTGTGTATTGCAGGTGACACGGGGGCTCCCGGTGACCCCGGCCCATCCGGCGTCCAGGGCCCAGCGGGGGAGAAAGGAGACAGAGGTGACAGCGGGACGGAGGGAACGCCGGGTGAGAAACTTGTTATGTCTAAAGAGGTTTAAAGAGGCGACACGGTCTGATGACATCACTGCGCACCTCGCTGTCAGAGCCAATGAACCCCCAGTACCCAGCTCCAGTCTGGGGGGGGAGGGGATCCCCTCCATGTCGGGTCCGGATACTATCACTGTCACTATGTATCACTTTAGAAGATAACGTTCCTCTGCTTCCTCCTTACAGGACCACCGGGAGCGCCGGGGAACACCGCACAGAAGGGAGACAAAGGAGAAGCAGGTACCCCCCTCCCCCCACATATACCCCTCTACTGACCCCCCCCATATACCCCTCTACTGACCCCCCCCATATACCCCTCTACTGACCCCCCCCATATACCCCTCTACTGACCCCCCCCATATACCCCTCTACTGACCCCCCCCATATACCCCTCTACTGACCCCCCCCATATACCCCTCTACTGACCCCCCCCATATACCCCTCTACTGACCCCCCCCATATACCCCTCTACTGACCCCCCCCATATACCCCTCTACTGACCCCCCCCATATACCCCTCTACTGACCCCCCCCATATACCCCTCTACTGACCCCCCCCATATACCCCTCTACTGACCCCCCCCATATACCCCTCTACTGACCCCCCCCATATACCCCTCTACTGACCCCCCCCATATACCCCTCTACTGACCCCCCCCATATACCCCTCTACTGACCCCCCCCATATACCCCTCTACTGACCCCCCCCATATACCCCTCTACTGACCCCCCCCATATACCCCTCTACTGACCCCCCCCATATACCCCTCTACTGACCCCCCCCATATACCCCTCTACTGACCCCCCCCATATACCCCTCTACTGACCCCCCCCATATACCCCTCTACTGACCCCCCCCATATACCCCTCTACTGACCCCCCCCATATACCCCTCTACTGACCCCCCCCATATACCCCTCTACTGACCCCCCCCATATACCCCTCTACTGACCCCCCCCATATACCCCTCTACTGACCCCCCCCATATACCCCTCTACTGACCCCCCCCATATACCCCTCTACTGACCCCCCCCATATACCCCTCTACTGACCCCCCCCATATACCCCTCTACTGACCCCCCCCATATACCCCTCTACTGACCCCCCCCATATACCCCTCTACTGACCCCCCCCATATACCCCTCTACTGACCCCCCCCATATACCCCTCTACTGACCCCCCCCATATACCCCTCTACTGACCCCCCCCATATACCCCTCTACTGACCCCCCCCATATACCCCTCTACTGACCCCCCCCATATACCCCTCTACTGACCCCCCCCATATACCCCTCTACTGACCCCCCCCATATACCCCTCTACTGACCCCCCCCATATACCCCTCTACTGACCCCCCCCATATACCCCTCTACTGACCCCCCCCATATACCCCTCTACTGACCCCCCCCATATACCCCTCTACTGACCCCCCCCATATACCCCTCTACTGACCCCCCCCATATACCCCTCTACTGACCCCCCCCATATACCCCTCTACTGACCCCCCCCATATACCCCTCTACTGACCCCCCCCATATACCCCTCTACTGACCCCCCCCATATACCCCTCTACTGACCCCCCCCATATACCCCTCTACTGACCCCCCCCATATACCCCTCTACTGACCCCCCCCATATACCCCTCTACTGACCCCCCCCATATACCCCTCTACTGACCCCCCCCATATACCCCTCTACTGACCCCCCCCATATACCCCTCTACTGACCCCCCCCATATACCCCTCTACTGACCCCCCCCATATACCCCTCTACTGACCCCCCCCATATACCCCTCTACTGACCCCCCCCATATACCCCTCTACTGACCCCCCCCATATACCCCTCTACTGACCCCCCCCATATACCCCTCTACTGACCCCCCCTAACATGGGACGGGTCTCCTCCTGTCACATTGGTCACTTTCCACCAACCCCTCCCGGGAACCTTCCCGACGTTTCCTAACCGAGAACTTCTCTTCCAGGAGAGAGAGGGAACGTCGGCCTGACAGGAAGCAGCGGCGCGCCAGGTGAGACAACGCATCCTCTATGAACGCAGGTGACACATGGGCAGGAGAGATGAGTGACACCGACACGCACCCAAAGATTTCCCCCCTGGCAGGATCTCCGCGCAGGAAGTCAGCTGTGCGCAGGCAAACGGCTTCCCCTCGGGATCAGAACTGTTTGTGCTGCAGGTTGTGGGTGGAGGCGCACTCTGGAGCTGGGAAATGTCTGGACGGATGGAGGGGGAATGGGAGGGGTCTCCAGCATCACATGGGTTAGATGAAGGTCACTCAGCCAACGACCGCCATGTCCTGCCGGAGGTGACCTGCCGGGACCCACAAGACATGGGTGATGACTGGCGAGGGGCAAAAAGGTGCCAGTACTTTGATGTGACCACGAATCAGCCTCCTGCAGTCCCCCGTACAGCGGAGCTCAGACTGGGAGAGGGTGACTCAGCATTAGGAGATTAACAGTTCATGTGTGGACAAGGGGCATGCTGATAGGAGCAGAGAGCAGACTGACAGAGTGTGCTGCTTCTTCTTGGAGGGCGGGTCCATGACAGTCTGGGCTCAGAGGAAGTGGGTTGAATGATGCTGGCTGTCAGGACACCTGGTGGTGGAGAGGAAGTACTGCAGGGGGGAGGGGAGGAGTTAAATGTCAGATAATGAAAAAAATTGCTTCCCGAAAGTGATAAATCGCAGAAATCCTCATTATTGTGTTTTACAGGTGTGACCGGAACACCGGGACAGCCAGGACTGAAAGGTGAATGATCGGAGCTCCTCATAATGGGCACAGCAGGTGTACAGACCCGGGAACTCAGCTCAGGGATGGTGGGGGCCCCTCATAATGGGCACAGCGGGTGTACAGACCCGGGAACTCAGCACAGGGATGGTGGGAGCCCCTCATAATGAGACAGAATTTCAGAGAAATAAAACTTTTGTTGCTATATGATAATAATGTTATTATGGTCTGTGTGTGTTACAGGAAATGTGGGGGCCCCTGGCGTCTCCGGTCCGCAGGGCCCAGAAGGACAGAAGGGAAGTAAAGGAGACAGCGGGAGTCCCGGGCCTGCAGGTGAGGGGTTCCGGGTAGGACGATCTCTGGGGTCACATGGCCGTGTGATGAGGGAATTGTAATCTGAAGACATAAGAGGAAATGTGGAACCGTCAGCAATCGGCTCTATAGAGAGGAACGAAGCCCACAGACAAGGGAAGGAAAGGATCGGTGTACAGGGGGCACTTGGACACACGGGGTGTACAGGGGGCACTTGGAGACACGGGGTGTACAGGGGGCACTTGGAGACACGGGGTGCACAGGGGGCACTTGGAGACTCGGGGTGCACAGGGGGCACTTGGAGACACGGGGTGCACAGGGGGCATATTTGGAGACACTTGGAGGGCACAGTAGGCACAGAGACACTGAGGGCTCTGGCGCCCTCAGTGCCAATCATTGGTTCTAAGTATGTAAAGTGACCTCAGGAGTTCTGATTCAGTCCTATGTGCAGAGAGCAAAAGTAATGTAACAACACAACAATACACACACCGCAGAGCTACAACACAACACACACGCTGCAGAGCTACAACACCATGTAAGGTGACCTTTATTTGTTTTTACTCTAACACAGGCTTTATAGGAGTAGCCGGGCGCAACGGAGAGAAGGGCCAAAAGGGAGACGCAGGTACGCTGTATTATCATTATAATTGTATATAACACTACACGCTGCTTAACCAGGTCGGAGACCAGACCAGTCACCCTGCACAAGGAGAGAGAGCGGCAGGGACCGGTCTTTATTACAGGAGGGGGCGGAGACAAGACCAGTCACCCTGCACAAGGAGAGAGAGCAGCAGTGAGCGGTCTTTATTACAGGAGGAGGCGGAGACAAGACCAGTCACCCTGCACAAGGAGAGAGAGCAGCAGTGACCGGTCTTTATTACAGGAAGTCTCACGTGGGATGACTGCACAGATCTGGAAGAAATACACAAAGCTCACCGAGATTGAGGAAGTACACACATGACTCTGGATGAGGACAATGTCTGCTGATCCCGGAGTTCAGCTTTAAAGTATATCTAAAACCAGGACGTTTTTTTTAACATTTTGTATAGAATAGTTAAAGCCCCTGTCATTTTTTTTTCTCATTGGGAAGATTTCTCTTTTACTTCCTGTCCCAGAGTCAGAACAGGAAGTGAGAAGATATCTCCTCGGAGTTAGAGGAAATCCTCTCTTATTCAGCTGAACAGGTGTCCCCCATTGGTAAATTTAATCTCCTCTTCCTGTTCTGGTGACAACTCAATATTCTGGAGTTTCCTTCTCTTTTAGCTGCAGTGACAACGGTCACCAGGACAAATAGAGAGGGGGAGAATCTTGCTGTTAAAGACACAGAGAGCAACAAAAACCTGACAGGGGTTCTGTCCCTTCCCTACGGCATCCAAAACTAAAGAAAAAGTTTGGTTTTAGAAGCACCTTATATGTGAGATACATTGTATCCCTGTGACCTCACACAGATCATATGTCTATGGATTACATACAATCAGTGGCGTAACAATCACCATAGCAACCCAGGCGGCCACTATGGGGCCCGGGACACAGGGGGGCCCGGCCAGGACATCCCCCCTGATGCTGGGTCGCTATGGCATCTCACGCTGCTGGCTGTCACTGGCGGGTGGGAGGAGGAACGGGCCGCTATTCACATGTGCAGCGGCGCGTTCCTTCTCACAGCCGCTGCCGAGTCGGTGACAACCAGCAGCTTCGGAGGATGTGGCTGGGCCCGTCGTCGGCAGTGATGGGGAGGCGGGGCCCGACGATTGAGGAGGCGGCCCCCAGTGATGGAGGAGGCGGGGCCTGCAAGCGATCGTGGAGGAGAAGGAGGCGGACAGAGGACCGGAGAAGACAGGTAAGAGGGCTTGACCGCCCACCTGAGACCCTGCAGAGCCCACCATAGAGAGTCTATGGTGGGCTCTGCAGGGTCACCCTCAGGTGGGCTGTGTGGGATCTCAGGTGGGCTTAACTAGAAATCACAGGGCCCCATGCAAAGATTTTGCTACGGGGCCCTGTGATTTCTAGTTACGCCCCTGCATACAATATATATAATGTATCTGGATCCTGTGACACCGAGGGGTCTTATTCCAGGCTGTGATGTCACTTCCTTCCTAATCTCTCTTCCAGGAACAAAGGGAGATGGCGGCCAGAAAGGTGACCGAGGACTGGCAGGTGAGGCCGCACACCTCTATATGAGATCCTTCTTACCTGATTGGTTGCCTCTTCTCTGACACCTGTCACTCTGCAGGGCTCAATGGTCTACCGGGGAGCAAGGGAGAGAACGGAGCCGCTGGCCCTCCAGGACCAAAGGGGCAGCCTGGGGAGAAGGGGAGTCTCGGGCCTCCAGGTAAGACTTCATTCCAGACCAAGAACCAGGTCGGTTGGACCAGATTTGGAGCTTGAGGGACCAGACTGAGTGTAAGGAAGGTCCAGTTGTTCTAGTACAGGAAGACCCAGGAAGGTCCAGTTGTTCTAGTACAGGAAGACCAGTGTGGGCCCCAAAGGGTCTCTATAAACCAGAACTCTGCATGGATAGTTCCAACTAACCTGTGACCTCACCTGCTGATCTGCTTTCCTTGTGAACTGCTCTTCGATCCGTACTTACCTGTTGTGACCTCTGTCTGCCTGCTTGCGTCTGCTTACTGACACCTGCCTGGTACTGACCCGACTGTCACTGACCTTGGCTTGAACCCTCAACTCAGAACATGTCTCCTGAATTGGTGGTGCTGCTGCTCTCATCTTGTACCCTGCCCATGTTCCGGTTGCCTGCTCTGGTACCCTGGTGTTCCTGCGTCTGGTTCCTGTCCTGCGGTCTACGGTCGCCTTGCCCATACACCTGCCGGCCCTGACAGGTCCAGTATGCCTGTAACCCTGTCCCTCATGCCGCTCCATGTCCTCGACTTCCCTGTGCCACTTCCGGGAGGTGCAGGAGAGGCCCCCCTCATCAACTCCACCAGGTGACATTGGGACCCCGGACAGCCACATCTAGAACCTGTCATATCTCCTCTAGGTCCAGCGACTGGACAGAATTGTATATAATTACCAGAAAGACGTTTTCCTCATTCCGCACTTTCTGATGATGTTTTATCTCCACACAGGACCTCCTGGACCACCAGCTAAAGCTGCAGGTGAGCAACTGAGCACACATTATAAGATCCAGGCCTGCTGGGGAGGCAACGAAGACTTCACATCATGATAACTACACAACCAGCTTCCCTGGTGACTTCTTATTTCCCAATTGTATCTTCTGTTTGATCTGATTTCACATCTTCATATATTGCTGTCTGAGTCCGGCCCCTGACCATATCTTAGATACATAGACAGGGCCGGGATTCCTGGCAAGGCCACCGAGGCCCGGACTCGGGGCGGCACGGAGAAGAGGGGCGGCACACGTTTGAAGTCACCCGACGCCCGGACGCCGGGCGGTAATTTGTTTTCCACATTTAGCCCGGCTTTGCACAAGCCGGGCTAAATGAAGAGTGGGGGAAGCCGCTTGTTTTTACATAGACGTCTCTTTGCTTGTCTACTGCTGATCGTCCTTCCTGAGTGCTTGTTCACATGACATCCGGATTCTGTCCGGACCAGATCCGTGCGCTCATGCACCCAAAATGCACCCCAATGTATCCCTGTGTTTTTTTTGGGCTACAGTTCTCACGAGCGCAGTCCGTTCCGATCCGGACAGAAAAAATACTTCATGTCACATTTTGTCCGGTCTGGAAATGCACGAACGCGTCAAAAACGCGACGAAAACACACCGCACTGCAGCTAACATACTGACAGCCCCCACTCCGACCAAAAAAAACAAACATTTTTTTTTTGTGTGAACAAGCCCTGAATCCTCACAGGCATCCAAATTACCATTCGCCCGAGAGGTACCCAGAACATAAAACAAGTCATAATCCGGGAACCCAAATATAGCATGTTGCAGTTTACCGGTCCTTGGACATGGCGGCTGCACTTGCTGTTTCCATGACACTTTTATTTTTGGGTGTAGATACTGCAGAGAAAACGAAATACTCACTTTCCAAACCTCCCCTGACATGACTGGGACTGTCAGGGCCGGATTTATTGCTCTGCTGTCCCAAGGCCAGGTTCCTCAATGCCCCCCTGCCCGCCATTATGAATGAATGGGAAGTGATCTACATCACATCTACATCACTTCCTGTCCATTCATGATCTCTGAGGACTCCATGATAAAATAAAAATATTTAATAATTAATTACAAAATTTAATATAATTTTTTTTTAAAGTTTATAAAAACAAATAAAAATAAAATATTTAACAAATTGGAAAAAATTAAAATAAAAACATTTCCGGTTTCGGCCTGACAATTTTATTTTTATTTCGGTTTCGTTTCGGTTTTTAAACCTCTACTTACAATGTAACTGCAAACCTCCAGGGTGAGGCGGAGAACTTCTCATTATAGTCCATCTCCGGGGTAAACAAAAATCTACCCTTGCAGTGGGGTTACCCCTACCGTGCGAGGGTTACATGACCCCTGCTCTCCTGGTGGTCAGCGCTGTCCTCTCCTCCCCCGAGTGTGAGCCCTCGTTCACACCTGAACGTTTGTAGCGCGTTCTACGCTCGACGAACCCTCTACAAAACGCTCAAAAATATAAATCCCATTGTAGTCAATGGGACTCGTTCCCACCTCGGCGTATTTCCGCCCGTCCCTAACGCGCTACAAAACGGCCCGCGCCTGAAAAGGTCCCGGGACTACTTTGGGCCGTTTTGTTGCGTGTTTCCATTGGGATACAGCCAAGTAGCCTTCGGAAACGCGCGACGGTCGCGCAACTTTTTTTGCGGCGAATCGCGGTAAAAAAACGCGCGACAGACGCGCATATGCAATACGCCTAGGTGTGAACGAGACCTGACGCATGCTGCAGAATTTGGAGGCGTTAGTAGAGCTCTGAGCAATCCTGAAATGTATCCGGGACAGGAAACAACGGAAAAGGGAAACATTGATTCAGATGAAGCAAAACAGCAACAACTCCATAAACATTGCCAAAGTCACCAAAAAGAGGCCACAGGGGGCCCATCCTATGTACAGGGGAGAGACCCGGTTATACTGCCGCCCTGCTGGTGACGATCAGAACTTCTGTCTTCCTAGATGTTGTGCGGATCGTTGGAGGGAGAAAAGGCCGAGTGGAAATTTATCACAACAACGAGTGGGGAACGATCTGCGATGATGAGTGGGATGCTAAAGACGGACTAGTCATCTGTAAAATGCTGGGCTACACCCGGGTTGTGACAACGTACACCGCCGGTGGAGGTAAGAAGGGATCGCCCTGAGTTTTCTTTGTGTTTCCTGTAGTCATGCTGTCCTATGATGCCTGTCATGAGAAGGGGGGGCTCTAGGAGTCACCCCGTACATGGGGCAGATAGGGGACATACATGATACACGGGATACAGAGTAATCATCGGTTTGTTGAGATCAGAGGCGTCACTATGACGGGTGTAATGACGTCACGTGCACTTAACTGCCGGCGGCCATCTTGGTTGATGGATGCCGGTGTTCTATCGAAAGTTGCAACTTATCGACTTCTCCAACTGCCTGACTTCCGGTTTAGTTGGAACTAAGAGGATTGGGGCAAGAAAGCTCCTCTGCACGAGCGCCCGCCGCGGCATTGCCCTATACACATACAGCACAGCAATGAAGCATGACAATGAACTCGCATCACAGTCACCCAGCACGTTATTAATCTCACATGCCCCACTCAATATGGCCGCCGCTTGAGTGGGGCACCTCAGAATAATAACGTGCTGGATTAGTGTGATCCGAGTTCATTGTCATACTTCATTACTGTGGTGTATGTGTATAGGGCAATGCCGCGGCGGGCGCTCGTGCAGAGGAGCTTTCTTGCCCCAATCCTCTTAGTTCCAACGTAACCGGAAGTCAGGCAGTTGGAGAAGTCGATAAGTTGGAACTTTCGATAGAACACCGGCAAAGAGAGGAGGGGGATAAGGTACGGTGCCGGATCCCCTTCTCTCTCGCGCAGCTGTCGGGTTCTCAGTCCATGACCAACTGCATTTTGGTGTCACCCCCTCTGATGGTGTCACCCAGTGTGGGCTTCCTCCCCCCGCAGGGTGTTGTGACACCACTGGTTCAAATGAATGTTTGGGCAGCAGGAAAGCGCTCTGCCTTCACCGTGCAGGACATCTATGGCGGGACATGGTGTGGTGGGTAAGACATCATAATGATGAGCTCTCGTTTATTCCTATGGGCCTCCTCGTGTTGCGCCAGAAGCCTTTTCTTTTCACAGCAGAGTGATCGGACCCCCCCCCCCCCCCCCCCCCCCCCCCCCACCCCCACAAGCGCGGCGGGGGGGGCGGCTGGCGCCCCCCCCCCCCCCCACCCCCTGCACTGACACCAGTATGAGCCAGGGGGCGGGGCCTGATACATCGTCTCTCTGTGAATTCCGGGACTTTGCTGCTCTCGGGGTGACATTTTGGGGTTTCTCTCTCCGCAGGTGTGGGGAAAATGTGGCTGGATGACGTGAAGTGCACCGGAAGTGAGACGAGTATCCTGCAATGCCTCAAATCCGACTGGGAGAAGCACAACTGTAACCACAGCGAGGACGCCGGCGTGGAGTGCTCCTAGTGCCACATCGGGGGAAGGGGGAGCTGTGACCACCGCCATCCCACAACACATTGTTGCCGGATATCACCCGGCCGCCCAATGTTTCTTCTGGTTATGGATGGAGCGGAGGGGAAGGATTAGAATTCCTGTCCACTTTCTACTGCTAGCCGGGGGCTAGATTAAAGAGATTTCCCCTCACTTCCTGTCCTGGTTTTGGCAGACAGGAAGTGAGAAAATATTCCCAACAGAGACACAGACATAAAATAACAATCTGAGAGTGCCATAGATCGGGGTACAGAGGATACATAGATGAGGGAAGCCAGACATCGTGTGCACCTCGCGCCAAACCCTGCATAGCGGCGAGCACTATAAGAAGTGTTACCCTCTGAATGTGCCGCGCTTCATCTAGAGCAGGGGTCTCAAACTCAATGTAGTCGGGGGGCCACTGGACACATTTGTTAGTCTCATAGGGGCCGCCACTATATACAGTACCAGTGTTAATGTCTGCACATGTTACACGCGGCAACTGTCACCCTTTCACTTTAATGATCGGGGGACAGCCGCTGCATCTACACGCCTGCACACCGCATGTAATCACATGTGAAAGCATTACATGCAGTTTACAAAAACAATTGTGTATCCAGGGAGAGTGATTGATTCCTAACTGCATGTAATCCTTTCACATACGATTACATGCGGTGTGCAGGCGTGTACATGGAGAGTTCCGCTCACTTCCTGTCTGCTAAAATTTTGTCAGCAAGACAGGAAGTGAGGCTCTAAAAGCAGCAGAATCCCAACAGGGGTCCTAACACCTCCCTGCTGCATCCCAACTAAGAGAAAGCATTTTATATTTACATACACTTTACACTCTGTCCTTCTTCAGACACTTCCTGTTATAGGGTGACCACGCTCTGTCCTTCTTCAGACACTTCCTGTTATAGGGTGACCACGCTCTGTCCTTGTTCAGACACTTCCTGTTATAGGGTGACCACGCTCTGTCCTTCTTCAGACACTTCCTGTTATAGGGTGACAACGCTCTGTGCCTGTGTCCCAGCTGTGCTCCTGTGTTGTCACCTCTTAGCATGCTGTAACGATGTAACATTTTTCAGGAAGTTGATACATTTTCGGATGATGCTTTGTATCTGTTTGTATAATATTATCTCCGATACTCGCCAGCCGAGGAAGAGAAAGAAAATATTTGTAAGATGTTTTAGTTCTGATGATCGTATGAAATAAACACAAAAACCAACAATTCCTTCTTCTATCATTATAATCCTT